ACTCTGCCTCTGCTTTTAGGTGGATTTTTTGTTTTTTGTTTTTTGTTTTTTGGGTTTTTTTTTTTTTTTTTTTTTTTTTTTTTTTCTTGTGAGTTTAACAAACTTTCATCACGAAAGAGCCCCCGTGGCTGACACAACCAGGTCTTGCCCAGGTAACCGGTGCCTGGCAAAGCCCGTGTGTCTGCCATGAATTCAGCACTCAACAGCTGGAAACTGGCTGAGGTATCGCACCGCCGACAAGCCAGCGTTTCCGAGCCCACGGGAGTCCCCACAGGACCGCTTCCCTCGGGACAGAGATCGCAGGTCAACCGGACAGGCGGGCAGGAAAGACAGGATAATCCACACATTTTCAAAGCCCTCTCTCTCGTACCGCATCACGCACGAGAAGTCGCAGTGCACGGCGTGGCTCGAGCCAAGATTTTGGTCAAAGTGCGAAAATAAGTTCAGGGGCCGGATGCAGTGTTTGCATCCAGCTGTTCCGGGGGCTGCTCCGGAGGGACCGATTTCAGACGGGCTGGTCCCTGGGTGGGGAGTTCAAATCAAGCGCTCTGCCAACTCACCGGGGAGAGTTTGGAGTGTATGTGTGCTTGGACGCGTGTGAATACACACGCGTGGCGGTTTCTCCATGCATGCTGAGCCTCTCAAATAAAAACAAAAACAAAAAACAAAACAAACAGACAAACAAAAAAAAACCAACAAAAAAAAAAAAGCCAGCAAAAAAAGCCCTTTAGGGCTTGATTACTTTATTAATAGACACATTAAGTGGCCTTAATGCTCTTGGTGACTTTCTGACGGGACCGGGGAGCTCGGGAGGTGCCGGGCCCGCCCGGGATCCGCTGCCGGCGGCGGGGCCGCGGGCGGGCGGCGCTGCGCGGCGGCCGGCAGGGGGCGGCACGCACTCTCGGTACCGCGCTGCCCACCGCGCCCGCACGCAGCTGCGGGAGTTTCCTCCCGCTTGCCCCACACGTGATGTTTGGAAGGTCTGGCACGGATGGGTGCGGGTTAGGGCTTCGCGTGGAAAGCCGGGGGTTACGGGAGTCCCATGTTAATGACATGGTATTGGAACCGCCAGTCCGACACACCCGGGACGAAAAAACCACGCGGAACCGCGGCGGGGCCGGGCTGGGCAGCGCGCAAGTTGCGCTGGCTCGGGAGCCAGAGGGGACGAGGCCCTGAATTAGCGTCGAAAAGAGAAAAACTAAAGCAACCCTGCCCGATCGCTTTTCCCGGGTCGGTGAGAGGAATCCGGGCAGCAAGGCCTTTTCCTGCTCCTGGTTCTGGTCCCGGTTCTCTGCCGCTGAGACGGGATCCCAGCGGGACCGAAACAGAGGGGTGAAGTTTTCAGGGCTGCTCTCCTCGATGGGGAGGTCCATGGGAAGCATCCCGTGTGTCCGTCCCACCCGGGAGCCCAGGATAAGCGGGGAGCAAGGCCCTGTCCACGCGTGGCTCCGGCTGCTCGGGGCCGGCTGCCAGGGGAATCCACCTGCTCTGCGGGGCCGTGGTGCCCGGCCCCGGGCTCTCCCGCAGCCCCGCAGCCCGGCCCGGGTCCTGGGAACCCGGCTGGGCTCGGCCCGGCCCGGCCCCGTCACTCCTGCGGAGCACTGCGCTTTGCGAAGGATTCGCAGGAGGCTTAGACATACCGAGTAGGGTTTAGGGCGTCCAGAAAAGAATTAAATTAGGCATTTCACCCGCTCCTTTAACTCCATCAGCCCCACGCCAGACACGACCTGCCTAAGTCACCTCCCTGCTGTGTGCATGAATCTCTGGGACAGGAGGGAAAAAGGGGAGACAGATTCCACCTGGAAAAGAAAGTTAGGGGGAGGCTGAAACTTCCCTCACCGCCATCCCCATGCCCGCGAAAGCTCAGCCTGGTTTAGCCCATTAATAACTGTCTTACCCCGAGGTCTCCGCATCTGAGACCTTCCTCGCAATTTCTTCTTGGCTCGTCTTTAAAAGATGAGTATTAGTTTGGAAATCCGGAGCTAGTGCCTGCCAGGCCAGCCATGCAATCTGACTGCGAATGTAGCGCACCCCTCCCTCCGAGAGAGGCTGCCTCCCGGTGCGCTCCGAGCGGATCGGGATTGCTGGCAAGGGAGCCCCTGCCAGATTCTCTCCATGTAGACGCCAAGAGGACAGCGAGAGCAACCTGTCAAGACCTTGGGCAGGAAAAGTTCAAGAGAGGGACTCCGGGCGGTGTTCCCGGGGCAGGCCGGGCTGGAGCTCCGCGGCCGTGGCCGGGCCAGCGGAGGCCGGGGCTGCGCGGGAGGAGCCCACGAGAAACGGCCACGGCGACGAGTGCGAGAACGATACAAAAGTTTAGGGAGAAGAGGAAAATTCCGGGAAATCCCATCCCGAGTCCTTTTAGCTTTTTGTTCTCACTGCTCCTGGCCTGTTTTATCTCTGACAAAACACAGGGAAAGCTTGTGTTCTGCAGGCTCTGCTTGCGGTTCCTCTGCCTGGATGTGTCCCCGCGCACACACAACATGCACACAGATATGTGTGCGTATGTACAGAGCACACACAGCGAGCAGGGCTCGGACCTCCAGCGTGCTGCGGCCGAGACCACTCGCTTTTCCCGAAAAAATCGGACTTGGATGTGGAGAGCTCCCCGCTGCAAGCGTAGCCTCCTCCGTTTAGCTCCAAAACAACGAGACCTCCCTTCGGAGAGGGATTTTAGGCTAGAGGATATTTCCCCGGCGGTAAAGAAGGTCGAGGGAAATTTATCGATCGTTTTGGAGGTTCTGCGTGTGTGAGGTTTCTTTTCAAACGGATATAATTCCTCCCTCCCCAAGTGCTAAATTACTCGATGCAGTTTTCAAAGGAGCCCCGTGATTATGTCAGGATGTCTGGAAAGAAAAAAAAAAAAAAAAAAAAAAGAAAGAAAAAAAAAAAAAAAAAAAAAAGAAAGAAAAAAAAAAAAAAAAAAAAAAGAAAAAAAAAAGAAGTTGAAGTTTTTCCAATTCAGATTCATTCTTCAGTCCCGGAGAAGTGTAAATACGCAGATGCAGAACACTGTTCTTCCTAGGAGAAGTTTCTCTCTTTTTATTTATTTTTCTTTTTTTTTTCTTCATTTTCAGTGTTCTGGAACCAAGACCCCAGTCGAAATCAGCACATCAGACACCAGTCCTATTTAAGGCACTTTCTCATCCTTGCTCGTGTCTATAACCCCAGATAATTTCGAGAAGTCGTGTAATGACCACCGCTTGAGGGGAAAAAAAGTTGCACGGAGAAGGGGTGAGGGAACTTAAAAAGTTAAGATATTAGCGATTCACGAGGGACACGAGTGGGGCTGGAGGGAAATCCTTCTCTCCCTTGCTCGGCTCTCTCTCAGCTCAGCGGCGCCGGAGCCCTGCACTCCGGTGTCTTCGAGCAGGAAAGGTTTTCCCAAACGTGTGAGACCTGGCAGAATGGCACCTCGCAGCAAAATCTGCCCAAAGACTTGAGTTTCGCCGTGTAAATCTCACTTTGCTCTGCGCTCGCACGCACGTGTGGCTGTGGATGTCTATACGTGCAGCCGCCCCACGCCTGGAGATCAGATTTACATTTCCTACAGAAAGTGAACTTCTCCCTCCACAAAGTGCACACAGCGCGGGTACACAAAGGGAAACACGGCCTCAAACAAAGGCGCAAGAACAGCCGCATCTTTGCGTGCCCAACACTGTTTTGTCACTTATATTATCCTCTCGGTTTGGTATTGTGTTAAAAATATCGGCGAGCTGGGAACAGATGCTTTTAGCAGAGAGTAGGGAAGGAGAACAGAATTCACCTCGCCCTTTACTGGAAACAACCATTTAGACGGCGATTTGTTTTTTAGCATAATTTAATGCAGCGAAGTAACGGATTTTTAGTGTATAAAGTGGAAAGAAAATAGAAAACAACGTCAGGGAGAGAAGGAAAGAAACGCTAGACTGGTTTTAAGACTCCCCCCATCCCTTGGTTCAACAGAAACATTAATTTACATTAGCAATTCTGCATCTTTAAGATAAATTACACAGCGGCGTAATAGATTTAAAGTACGCCAGATTTTTTTATCATTAATTGTAAATGTGCAAAATACCTGCTGGTACTTCACTTTAGAAGAATGTAATTGGCAAAAATGGGAGGCTGATGAATAGATAATAGATCCTTAACTACCAATAAACAGTAAGCACCAGCCAAGAGTATTAGGATGTGATCATAATTATTCTGCAGCTCCAGCCAATGGGAGGAGGAGAACTCAGCCCTAAAATCATCTCCGGACCCAAAGGTAAACGCGAAAATACGGACAAGGCTGGAACCGGAGACTTGATCCCCTGTCCCGTCTGCGAGATCCCGGCGTGTCCCAGCTCTGCACGATGCGGCTGCCCCGCGCTTTGTGCTCCGCACCGCGCGGTGCGGGCAGAGCGGAGGAGCCAAGGGGAAATAAATAAGTTCGGACCAGGAGGACGACCCGTTCTCTCACCGGGACGAAATCTTTCCCGAGCGGGGCATCTCTCCCTGACGCCCCGGGGCCGACCAAGGTAACCTCGCCGGGCTGAGAGTACCCGAGAGGTGGCAGGGACAGGGGTGCCGCGCTGGCGGAGCAGCCCAACTCCCCCCTGGAGATGCAGGGCCCCCCATCTGTCCCGCTGAGCCCCCCTTCCCCCCGGTCCCCGTCCGCCTACCTTGGTCTCGGAGCGGCGGCAGGGAGGGAGGGAGGGCAGCGCGGCTGCGGAGGGGCGCGGAGCCGCGCGGGGCCGGCGCGGGGGCGGCGGCGCGGCGCGCTCCCCCCGCGCTGGCGGGCGCGCTCCCGCCGCACTCCGATCCGCGGCTCCATCCCTCCCGATGGCGCTGCCCGGCGCTCGCCTCCCCTCTGACGCACTTTAAAGAGTCTCCCCCTTCAACCTCAAGGCGAGTAATAGCGACCAATCATCAAGCCATTTACCAGGCTTCAGAGGAAGCTGTTTATGTGATCCCAGCACTAATTAGGCTCATGAACTAACAAATCGTTTGCACAACTTGTGAAGGGGCCGATCACATCCATGGATTGTCTTTGGACTTAGGGGGGGAGGGGGGGGGGCGCGACCGCCTTTTCCTTGCAGGAGGGAAACTTCTCCCAGCAACTTTTTTTTTTTTTTTTTGTGTGTGAGTGTGTGCGTGGTGCGTGTGTGTGTGTCTCCCTTTTGGGTACCGCTGGCTGCCGCTGCCTCCTTTTCCTCCAGCCCCTGTCTATTTATGTGTGTATCTATCCCTCCTCAAGTCACTCCCTGCTGCAAACTTCCCCGGATCGTCTCCCGCGCACCAGAGAGAGACGGGCAGAGATTGGGTCGGGGACTCTCGTCGCGGCAGCATGTTTCAGCCCACACCCAAGCGGTGTTTCACCATCGAGTCGCTGGTGGCCAAAGACAGCCCCTTGCCCGCGTCTCGCTCCGAGGATCCTATCCGGCCGGCGGCGCTCAGCTATGCCAATTCCAGCCCGATGAACCCTTTTCTCAACGGCTTCCACTCCACTGGCAGGGGGGTCTACTCCAACCCGGACTTGGTCTTTGCAGAGGCCGTCTCCCACCCGCCGAACCCGGCCGTGCCGGTCCATCCCGTGCCCCCTCCTCACGCCCTGGCCGCCCACCCGCTGCCTGCTTCACACTCCACGCACCCGCTCTTCGCCTCGCAGCAAAGGGACCCCTCCACCTTCTACCCGTGGCTAATACACCGCTACCGGTATCTGGGCCACAGATTCCAAGGTACGTGTAACTTTTCTTCTCCTTCCGATCCAGCCCCGCATCCCCCGGCCGGTCCCCGCGGCGCGGATGTTGGGGGACGGCGGATGGGGGGCGGCCCCTGCCCGGAGCGGAAGACTCGGCTCGGCCGGGCCCGGGGTCTTTTGTCCCTGTCTCCCCCTCCGCCAAACTTGGGAGAGCTGTCAGAGCCGAAGAGCTTGGGCTTGGTTTTGTTTTGCTGCTTTTCCCGGTTTGTTTTGTTTTCCCGGGAAGAGGGGGGCAAGAGGGAAGGCAAGGCCGGCTGGGACTTCGTCAGCTTTCTGTCCCCATTAAAAGCAGACGAAAAGGTGGATATTTTTTGTTCCGGTGTGTTAAGAGCTATAGAGGAGCCCCCGAAGGAAGCGGCCGTGCAGAAAGGGGAACGGAGAAGTGCTGGGGCTGAGGTTCCCCCGGGAAGGCGGCGGTGCCCGCCGGGCTGCGGGGCCGAGCTGCAGGAAGCCCCCGCCGCCGCCCCAAGTGCGGCCGCTGCCCTTGTTAGAGGGGAAGAAACGAAGCGAACCCCAGAGAAAGGAGGAGGGGAGTGTGTGTGGGGAATTAATGCCAGCGCCGGAGCAGCACGGGGAGATGGGGCTGCGGAGGATAGCCGGGAAAGGGGCGCGGAGGGCGATCCCGACCGTGCGGGCAGCCAGGGGCTCCAAATGCCAAGCGATTAATAACCAGCTGAAGGGAAATAACCGAATCCAATGGCGGACAATCAATAAAATCCCCCTTGCTTAACCCTTTGAAACCGGCAGCGTCTTCTCCGAGAGGTGAGCCGATTTCTCCCGTAATGGGTCCGGCTTCTGCCACTTTCATTATAGGCAAACCAACAAACACAACAAAATCAGCCTCCACTCGCAGGGATCCATCTGCCTTTTTTTTTTTTTTTTTTTTTTTTTTTTTTTTTCCTCTTGTGTTTTCATTTTTAAATTCGGAATGAAAACAAACCACCTGCATGTTGCATTTTCCCCGGCCTTCCACAGCCGGGCCGCTGCAGCCGGCTTGAAAAAGGATCCACTCTCTCCAAAGCCAGGCGGTCTGAGACACAAAATGGATTATTACCCTTTCAGAATAAAATTACAGGTTTCGCTCACCAAATTATTTGTCGCAGGCACCAGGCGATTGGTAACGAGGGGTAGATGAAAGGCGGAAATGTCCTGGTGTTGAGCCACAGCCTGATTTCAAACACACCCTCCTCCTCCAACGATTTTGAAAGCACTTACAGAGAGAGCCCCTCGGTGCCGTTTCCACCTTGGAAGGACCAGCCCGGAGAAGCGGCACAGGGGCACCCCGGAGGGAAATGCCCCCCGAAAAGCCCCGGCTCACCACCCCCCGCTCCCTCCCCCTCTCCAGTGCAGGCCGACAGGAATGGGATGGGATGGAATGGGATAAGATGGGATGGGATGGGATGGCCGCTCTGTGGCCTCCTCGGAGTTTGATTCTTTATTTCCACTCCGGCTCCCAGCGCCGCCGAGGCAGCGGGAAGGGTCATGGGGCCGGGAAGGCGACGGTGGGAGCCCCGCTGCGGGCAGCACACCGGGGAACGAAGGGAAGCGGCGGGAGGAAGGCTCCGGCCGAAGTTTTGGGCGAGGGAAGCCGAGACAGGCCGGGGGAGCAGGCGGGCGGCTCCGGTGGGCGGCCAGGGAGCCCCGAGAGCAGCGGGCCGCGAAGGGAAGATGGAAATAACAAACAAACAGGGAAAGCCGTGAGGCTCCGGTGGTCGGGGGGCAGGGGGGCAGCCGTGAGGTGTAGCCGCAGACACCGCAGCCGTGCTCTGGCCAATTGTTTTTTTTCTTCTTCTTCTTTAATTTCTGTAGTGCTCTCCATGTTGTGTTTTAGCATTTTAATTTATACCAGTCCTTTCCTCCCCCTGCTTATTTATCTTTTCCTTCCACATATTTATCAAAGGAAAATTCAATACAAAGAAGGAGTTGAGAAATAAAAAAGAAACTATAGTTGGATTTATCCTGAGGGTAATGATGGGAGACAGAAATTGTTGCGCTAAGAAGTGCTGTCGAGTGCGTTTGGGGAAGGTGTTTTACTAATCTGTTTTACCCTGTTTCCCAGGGAATGAAACCAGCCCGGAGAGCTTCCTATTGCACAATGCACTGGCCAGGAAACCCAAACGGATCCGTACAGCTTTCTCCCCATCCCAATTACTGAGACTGGAACATGCCTTTGAGAAGAACCATTACGTAGTAGGAGCGGAGAGAAAACAGCTGGCACACAGCCTCAGCCTCACGGAAACTCAGGTAAGGGGCAAGCAGGGAATGGGCAGCTGGGAAAGCGAAAGTACGGGCATCTCCTGTGGAAAACCCACCCGGCCGGGCCGAGATTCGGGCAAAGGCGAATTCTAGGGGTGTTTAGGCCTCCAGTCCCGAACCGGTGGAGTGGAGAGAGGGATCTCCCCAGCCTGCGTGCCGTAAAATCCTTTTCCCGTTCGGGATTCGGCCCGTGCCGGGGTCGCGGTGCCTCGGCCGGGCGTGGGGAGCCGCAGCGCTCGGGGCGCGGTTTGGGGTCCCCGGGCAGCCCCGGCTGGAGGCAGCGGCAAAGCTGCGATCTGCGGGTCCGGTCGTTTCGCTGCGGGGCTGGTGTGACCCTCAAGAAGGAGTTGGATGTTAGGGGAAAAGGCCCCAGAACAAATGCGGGGGCAAGGGGGAGAACTTCCCCTTCAGACCCTACAGCAGAAACACAGTTTCTCGGGTGAATTTTCACTCGTTTCTAGCCGACAGAGGGGATGCGACGAGCCCGTTCAGGAGGGCAGAAAGATGAAAAATAAAAGCAGAGAAATTACTCGCAAGGAATCCCCCCCTTACCCCTTCCACCCCCCTCCCCCCATGCCCCAGCCGGCTGGCTGCGGGCCAGAACCGCACCGGAGACTGCTTCGGTCTCTCTGGCGGGACGCTCGGCGATGTTTCTGCCACGGTGGGGCCGGGCCGAGGGTCCCGGCAGGTACCGGGGCCGGGCCCCCGTGGGGCGGCGCGGAACGGGCCGGGAGCAGCGCCGGGGCTCCCCCGACGGCCGGGGAGCCGGGGCTGCGAGCGCGTTTTTCACGCGGTTTTCTCCCCGCCGGAAGAAAGGCTGGAGTTTGGAGGATTGGTGGTGGTTGTTGTTGTTGTTGTGGTTGTTGTCGTGTCGGGTTTTTGTTTTGTGCCCTTCCAGGAGGCTCGTGGAGAGAGGGTTCCAGATGGGGATTGTCTCTGCTACAGTATGTGGCACTGTACAAAAAAAAAAAAAAAAAAAAAAAAAAAAAAAAAAAAAAAAACCAAAAAACACCGGCCCAAAAAAAAAAAAAAAAAAAAAAAAAAAAAAAAAAAAAAAAAAAAAAAAAGCCAAAATACCCAGCCGCAGCCTAGTTCAAAGTTCCCAGTAAACACAGCGTTCTCTGGGCGGATTAAGTTGTAACACTTTTTTTTTTTTTCTTAACTCCTTTTCGTGGGGGAAGCAATAAAGAGGTTGGAGCTTTTGTTTTAAAATGTCTCCCTAACAAAACAATAAAAAGGGATCGCCACTTTTATGAGGTTCCCCGAACAAGGGACCGGTCACAGGCTTATTTCTACTGGAAAGCTGTATTTAAGGTGGTCTTTGTGCTGCTTGATTCCGAAGCTGGTTGGGGTCTTTTGTCCGGATGTCAAACCCCCAGTCCCCTACAAATGAGCTCCCTTTTGGGAGATCAGCGTGCAGAAATGAACCGTCCTCCCCTTCAATTAGCAAACTAAAAGCAAATTAAACTCACCCCTTGTTCCCCGCTCAGCTTTTTAATGGGGGACTTTTGGAGAATATGAAAATGCAGCAGAGATGTGTGTCCGGCCAGTCAGGTCTCTGTTCTGAAGAGGCAGCGAAGCGGGTTAAACCAGCTTATTAAAATGCTCCAGTTCCCTTTCCCCCCCTTGCTGAGGCCTTTATCAGACACTTTCAGACAGAACCAGAGTTTAAATTGCTTAAAAAAAAAAAAAAGTTTACCTTTGGACGCTACAAGGAGTGTGGCCAGCCCTGGAGATAGCTCCCGGATCAATACTATCTGTAATTAAAGCACTGAAGTCAGCTGCCGGATGGTTCAGTCAGATTTACGCGGCGCTGAACAAAATCGGAGGGATATTCATGATGCCACTTACCGGTTCCACCGCGCCTCCATCGCTCCTGGACGGCGCGTCCCGGAGAGACGCTGCGGAGAGCGACGGACCTTTTTCAATTCGGGCCACTTTTGTACATTTTGTTCGCTTTTCCACGAGGAAAAAAATCCCGTTCGTCCGCCCCCCAGCCCCATCAGAACGGACGAGGCCCTGCCTTTGCTGTGCTCTGCCGGGCAGGTGGGAGCCCCGCGGGCCGGGGTCCCCCCGCCGCAGCCCCGACGGCTCTCGCGGGGCTGGGGGCCGTGGGACACCTGGCCGGGAGCGGGGAACCGGAGCCTCTCGGGCCGAGGGGACGGCCCACGGGTGAGCTCCACGCAGCGTGGGCTGCCTGGGCGCTGCGGAGATCCAGGAGCATCCCCCGGCGGTGCCGCCCGCTCCTGAGCGCTGCGAGCCCCGGAGGTGCCGGGGGCGTGGGGCAGGATGAGCCTGCCCTTCTCGCAGAGATTTGGGTGGCAGCGGGGCCCCCGCTCTGCTGGGCAGGGCGACAGCAGTGGGGACAGCACCGGCAGGGCACGGGCCGGGTGGCACACGGAGCGGGAGGGGAGTGGAGCATCTCCCTGGTCCGGGCAGGCGTGGGACTAACGCCCGGTGCCTTTCCTCCCGCAGGTAAAAGTATGGTTTCAGAACAGACGGACGAAGTTCAAGCGGCAAAAGTTGGAAGAGGAAGGTTCAGACTCACAACAGAAGAAAAAAGGGACTCATCACATTAACCGGTGGAGAATCGCCACCAAACAAGCCAGTCCAGAGGAAATCGACGTCACGTCGGACGATTAAAAACTGGCACTTTTGGACTTTTCAAAGCCAGCACCCCACCAACCGAAAGTGTTAAAGGCTCACCCCGCCACCCCCGCGGCGTGGCGGTGCGGGGAAGGACCCGGAGATCTTCATCAAAACACGATTCCCGGCCGGGAGGGAGCTGGGAGCGAGCGAGAGCCAGCCAGCGAGGGCTCCGAACTGTGGCACTGCCGGCACCGCTCTGGCAAAGGGATCTGTCAATCAAAGCCAAAACACCGGGACGAGGTGATTGACAGGTATTCCGTTTATCGCAGTCCACTTTTAAAAACATAACGTAAAAAAAAAAAAAAAAAAAAAAAAAAAAAAAAAAAAGCCCCCAACCAAACCAGAAAAATTAACACCTTACGGGACATTTTGCACTTCACGGTTTTTTCCGTCTTTGAAAGAGAAATTTCCATAAGCAGCCAAAACTCACACCTGTTTCAGAAACTTGAATTGCATGTGTAAAGCCGTCTGGGGAAAAAAAAAAAAAAAAGAAAAAAAAAAAAAAAACCGGGGAAAAATTACTTCGGTTCCTAAAGACAGAAATTAATTGTAATTTTTTTTTCCCCTTTAAGACAGGTTCTGTGTGCTTTTTAATTTTATTTTACGAGAAATGTGCAGTCTGTAAACATTTTATAATAACTTCTGGCGTCAAAGTGTTTGTGAAAGCTAAATGAAGTAGCAGTAACAAAGCATAGTGTTCCTTCCGGATGGACAAACACGGTGGGGAGGGGAGGGACGGGAGGGAAAGGCGGGGGGGCGGGGGAGGTTGGGGTTGGTCATAACTTTTGCTGGAAAAAAAAAAAATCAAATGGAATTATCTCCCCTCCTCCCCCCAACTGTATCCCCATTGCAAAACCGGATGATGATTACTTTTTTTTTAAGATTTACAAAGCCCAAACCCAGCGACCAGTTTTGGCGGTGGGGACACCTTCTAGGCTGGGAGGATCCAGAGAAAAGGGACTTAAAATCGCGGATTGATTTTTTTTTTCCTAATGACCATTTTCATTGGGTCAATTTTCAAGCACTGACCTTATAATATTTCGAGATCATAGAGCTACTAAAAAAAAAAAAAAAAAAAAAAAAAAAAAAACAAAAAACAAAAAAACCCAAAACAGTGACAAATGTTTCCTTCATGTCTCCTATACCAGAATGTAAATATTTTTGTGTTTTGTGTTTAATTTGTTAGAATTCTAACACACTATATACTTCCAAGAAGTATGTCATTGTCAATATTTTGTCAATAAAGATTTATCAATATGCCCAATTTTTTTAAGCAATATCTTTCCCCCTTCACCCCCAAATTTCTCGGAAACCCATGGTTTCCCCCCACACCGCCTTGTTTTTAGCTGCTGAGCCCCCGCGGCCGCGCCGCGCATTCCTGCGGCCATGGGCGCATTTTCTTAATGTATTCGCTGGCTGCTAAATAGACCTCTAAAAACAAGCCGCAGAGGCTCACTTGCTGTACATAAATACCCCAAACCCCCCGAAACAGAACCAACCAACCAAATAAAAACCTCAAGGAGAAAGCCAGCCCCTTCCCTGGTTAGAAACTGAAGCGCGGACCCGTTCGTGGTGGTGAAGCTGGTCGGCAGCAGCCGCGCTCCGCCGAGAGGGGCTTTCCTCGGCAAAAATACGTGTTTATTTAGCGAGGGAGGTTTTTTTTTTTTTTCCTTTTGGTCTTTCCCCCCATCTTTTGCATCCCCTGTGCAGGTCGGTGCGCTGGGGAACAGGTCCTGTGAGCAGAGGCTGCGCCCCGGCTGCTGCTCTCCCTGCCGCTCTCAGGGAGCGATCCTGGGCGCGGAGTAAAACTCTGACATTAAAGAGGTGGGGGAAAGGGAAAAAAAAAAAAAAAAAAAGAAAAAAGAAAAGAAAT